TTCCTTGGGCTGAGAATGCTGCTCCTTTTTGGAAGACCTGTTGATTTCGGTGACCAAGGACTGGTTATTTGCCGCATTCGCGGTCGGCTTGGGTTGCCAACGAGATGATGCCCGATTCTCTTTTGGACCAATAGTTCTATCTGTCTGGTTCGCATCTACTTCACCACTTAAAGTTTTCTCAGCATCAGTATTATCTCCAATGATTGTTGCAGGGCCCCTAGCCACATTTCTCTTTCCTCTGCTTGTACCTGAAGTTCTAGTTTCAGTATTTGCTGAATCTATCCCGCCTTTGACAAATTGACCGATCTCCTTAGGTTCTTGAATTTCCTTAACTGGATCATATGTTGAAGACGGCCCAATATGTCCACCCTTCATATAAGATGAATCAGTCGGACCCCGTTGTTTCCAAGTCCCATGATCCTTCTTATGCTTGTTGTGGGTGACATCCCCCTCGTTAAACTCTCCATTTGACCCATCTTTTGCTCGAGCAAAGGCAACAGAAGGTGGAAAATTCTGAACACTTCCTTGCTGGGCGAGCTCCTTGGCCACAGGCTTCGGAACATATCTCTCCATTTCAGCCCTCTTGCCCTTCGAATTATTCTGTGTCATATGATTATTACCGTTTGTTGGGTCAGCTGATTCCTGTACAGAATCTGAACTTGCTTCAGCAGAACCTTTGGCAGCTTTGTTCTGCTGGCGAACAGGGGCCCACACAGCATCACAGCCATGAGGCTTGTTATTAGACTGTTGTTGATTTCTTGACTGCCTTCGGGAGGAGTGAGATCTCCACTGGCTGGATATCCTGTTATGGGATTCTTCATTTGGTAAAGAGGAGCTTAAACCCTCCTGAGCTTCGACAGCTTTATCAGGCCCAATAGGTTTCGAAACTAAGGTATCCGAGTTTGACAAAGAACCTTTAGTCTCGACTTTCTCATTTGACTCCTTTCCAGGAATAACATTAGGCTCTACAGGTGGTAATGGGGCCCCATCCAGTTTCTGCTTATTTTTGCCACTCCTATTATTTTTCCTTCTTTGGGGCATGATTGGCTCAGCCACAGACTCTTCCGCGTTAGGCACATTTGACTCGCTCGATTTAATTTCACTTGGGTGCTCATCGGGTTTAAAATCATTAGTAGCCACATGAATATGGTCTTCTGCGGCCTTTATTGCAACGTTAGAGACAGGTTTCCCGGCAAAGCTCTTCCGCAATGAATGCTTTTGCTTAAAACTCGTTACCTTGTTCCTAGAAATGCCTCCATCATTAAATTCAGGTGAGTCTTTCCTATCACTGACACCACAAGCATCTTCGTGCATGGGAAAAGTAGTGGCATCCGACTCCACAGGCGAAGTCCTGGGTATTTCAACAGTGGTTTCTTTAGCCTGATTTGAATTGTTAACATCGTCCATGATCACTTCACTAGCAGCGCAGGATTCATCTTGTTCCCCCAGGTTGTCATTGATGGCCCTCTGAGATGTTGCAGTTCCAGCTTCATCAGCTAGTGTTCGCCGGTTTAATTCTTCTAACTTAGCAAGAGCCTTGGATCTCTGCTCCTTTATTCTTTCTTCCTCTTCCATCTGCAGTTGCAAAGCACGTTGCTTAGCTACCTCTCTCATCTTGGCCCGCTGATTGGAGACATACAAAAAAAATAAATAAATAAATAAATAATAGAAAAAAATTAAAAAAATAGAAATAAAAATAAAATGTGGATAAGAACCTGAGCTTGAATATCACAGGAATCATGTGAGTCAGCCGAAGCTTCTTCAATCTTCCTTACAGGATTGCCCACAGAATTCTCAACCACCTCTTCAACATTATCTGGGCCATGTGCCTCAGATTCATCATGTGATGATGTAGTCACACTGGATGATTCAGTGGTAAGAGGCT